AAAATTATCAAACCCCTAAGCTCACGTGTAGGGTTCAATGCACTTACGGACCGTAATAATGTAAAAATTCATCATTAGCAGTGCAGAGATTGGTATTATGCGAAATCATTATAAATGACCTCAGAAAAAAGAAGTAATGGAAGGAGGATAGACTTGAATTGAAGGCTTGCAACATTGATGAAGTCATGACACTTGGCTTTGGTGTGGTTAAATGCCTAGCCTAACCTTTTTTCTTCCACAACTCATTACCCTGTGGGTCACCTTCAGATCTTTCTTTTGCCAATAGTTTCACACGCTCACCCATGATGAGTAGATATATAACTATGGGATGAAATTTCAAAGCCTTTCACGTGTGTTGGTCTTACTTTGTTTCTCACTGCTGAGTGATGCAATCATCTCCTACTTTCTTTCTCTTTTAATTTTAATTTTTTTTTTTGCCCTTTTGGTAAAAATAAAGATGGGTCATTACCACTCTGCATAATTGTAATTATTTTAGACAAGGTATATGATGATGGGTATTCATGAGTGCCAGTTATTTCTGTGGCCATGCAAATAAAAATAAAAAAAAATAAAAAACTGTTTTTACCTCTGCCATACACATTTATGAAGGAAACCATAAGCAACACTAGCCCCCCTTAAATCATGAAGACCCAAATTTTCAATAAATTATTAAATGGGGGTGACTCAATATTGCAGGGGGGGAAAGCAAAATGGTTATTTAAGAAGGGGTTTGAATGGATTACTAGGGGAAGAGTACCATTATTGTTGGGCCTTTGCCATCATTGTTTGTTTCTGACGAGATTTTATAACACCCTTTTATTATATTCATCCACGCATTTACGCCAATTTACTGCCTATATGTTTTGTGCTTATGGCTTTGCTTGGGGACATGTCCTTTTGCCTCCCTATATTTCTTTCACTGTGCCATTGTTATCATTATTATTATTGTTATTATTAACTTCTGAATTTGAATGGCATATGGGTTGTTGACTAAGCTAGCACATGTTAGGGTAGTGAACATGTTTGAACATATGATGGGATAGGAACTCATGAAGCCTAGAACTTTGGCTCAGCAGAGCTCATATTTGCAGAAAGGCTCTCACAAACTGAATAATAGACTCAAATATTTTCGGCCAGACTTCAAATTTCATCCAATTGGCCTAACTAAACTATGCAGAGCACGAGGAAATGGCTAGTTAGACACTATTGTTTTATGTTCCATTTGTTGGTAAAGTGAACAAAGCAACAAAGTTTAGAACTCACCTCAAATAATTAAGATCGGAAATAAATTTAGATACCTGTATTAGCTGTAGTCATAGATTTGGGTTTGTATTATACTATTTGTATAAGAAAATTATGAAAAATAAATAAGTGGAACCAATTTTTTTCTTTAGGATTGTTTGATTCTCGGGTTAAATTCTTCAAAAATTGATGAATTTAAACTTCCATACATTATGTTTTAAACTTCATTTGGAAAAAAAAAAAAACTTGACACAGTTCAATTTGTTGCAATACCTTCTTTATATAAAGAAAATACAAGGACGAAATTTGATTGACTTTTAGAGATGAGAAATAAAAACTGGGGTTTTCTTACTAGCAAAAAATAAAACATTAATTGTTTTGGCAAACTATTTACTTATATAACATGATTACTTTATGTGTTTAAGTGGCACATTATTTCATGCGCATTTTGTTGCAAAATTCATGCAATGCAAGACATGCATCAGGCTTTTTGCATTCAAGTTATACATGCCCCTAATACACATCTTGTAGAGTGTGACACATGACAATAACTTTCTACGCACATGGGATAATGTGCGGCTTAAACGCCTCGTGTGCATTTTAATTGCATTAGATACATAAACACTTTGCGAAAAAAAAATTAAAATCATGTTATGTTTCATTTTTAGCACTACAACTGTCAAAAAGCCAAAAAAACTGGAACCTCTTTGACTCTGTTTGTTTTCTAGTATTTGAACATAAACGCTAGTTATTAAATTTTAAAATGTAAAACACGTTTGTACAAGTATTAATACAGCATCTTCTGGTTATATATAAGTAAGTATGTAACCTTTAAGGACCAAAGGGTAACTTCAGAAAAGAGCTAGCCAATGGATTGAATCCTCATAATTAGACAACATAGAAGGATGCAAGCAAAGTCCTAAACAGGGGATTGAAACGAACGAGCTCTAAGGGGGGACACCTATGAACTTGTTGACAATTTTACTCACAAAAGGAAATTAGACACATCCAAAATACCCATCTGTCAACCATGATGTTTCACGTTATGCCACTCATAACCCATGAGGGAATTGGGGGATGGCTGGCCCCAACTCCTATTCCTTCAAAAACAATTATTTCAAGCTCATATCCTGAATTTGGCAAGAAAAAGAGTTCTTTACTTAAGATACTATAATTATTATGATTATAATAACGTAAAACAAAATACCATCAATATTTCAAAACACTTTTAATTTGTAATTAAATTGAGCCATTTTGGATACCCAGGGTACGTGAATGGAAATCTGATTAGGAGTAAGAATAGATTCTGAGAAGGAACTTGTACTAGAACAAGTTTGCTTTACTATAATGACAATGCATAACACCCTCCACATCCTTTTCTTTTTTCCCCTTTTTGTGGAACCCTTTTAATGATTTCACATTTGGTTTGTTAAAAAGCAATCCCCTAACCACATAAAAACAGAGAAAAAGAATATACGAGCAATTCTTGGCAAGTAATACAGCTAAGGGATTTTTGGCATCTCACATATATCTCATCCCTAGTACATACATGAAACAAAAAATTCGTATCGTTCCTAGAATGTAAAATGACAGAATATTAATTATGGGAAACAATGATAAACACAACTAGCTAAGTAGTGCCGTGTAGTGGAGACAAGTCCACAAACAAGTGGCAGTTTCTTAAACCCCTCTCTCAGGTATCAATGCACAAAAATCGTCATTTTCAACAAAAGGGAGAATAACACTACGGCAACGTGAATGATTACTGCCAACACTTCCCAACACATGAAAATTACAAAAACGAAAGTGAATATTATGGAGGCCTAAAAATAGAAGAACCACAGCATAAATAAGACAAAAGAGTAATTGATGATAGGAGGGAGGGGTAGTAAGGAGGGGTTGCTGATGGTGGTTTTGGACCTAATCCAAACCCATCATTGCAAAAATCTTGGGACGGCCTAGCTTATCATCATTTTAGAAACTCTAACTGAAAGCCCCCATTATTGTTCCTCTCATGTCCATTATGCCCCATTTTTATTCCCTCTGTGCCCTCTCACCACGTACAAATATACAACCAACCCTTAGAAAAAAGGGTTAACTAAGTATATTTTCAAATTGCTTATAGCAAATATTTATACTTATCATCCCTCAACAAGTGAAGTTTTATGCATAATATGTATCAATGTACCCTCAATAATAAAAAATAAGGTAAAGCATCATCATTGGCATGACGCCATAACCATCATCATAGAACCGAAACATAAAATCTTTTAGGCTACTAACCGGCCGCCTTCTATGCTTACACATGCATGATTGTTGTGTCAGAGAGAGGAGGGGCACGTCCCCCCACCCATATGTCTCTCTTTTCATCCTTTGTGTTTGTGCTCTTCCTCTCTCTCTCTCTTCACTTTTCCTCTATAAATTAACACCCCATTTGTTCCCTTTGTCCCTCACTTCCCATTCTCAATCTCTCCTTTTTTCCCTTCCCATTCTTAATCTCTACTTCTTCTTCTTCCAGAATTCAGATTTTGCTTCCATCTCTTGAGCCAACTTATTTCTAAAGGTGAAACATTTGTTTGCAAAGTTCAAGAGAGAAAGACAAGAGGACCCCACCTCTATCTCTCTCTTATGTTGTTTCATTTTCTTCCTTAAAGAAACGTAGGCATGGTGTTGTAGATTGAGACCCATTTGAGGCTATTACTAAGTAGTATTTGGTTTAAACTTGATTCCATATATCTAAGGCCAAATCACCTTTACTCTGTCTCTAGTTTGCTTCTTCTACGTTAAGGTTGTTACATAGTTTTAGGTACCTTAGTTGCACTCCACCTTGTTTTGTGGAAGGAAAGTTTGCCTTTCAGAACTTTTTCTCAGTGGATTCTGTTTCATTTATTTTCCCTTTAATTTTATTTCATTATAATAATAATAATAATGAAAAAACCCTCAATGGTTTCTTTGTCTTTCTCTAGCTATAACCTCTCATTTGTTATAATTATTTTTTTCTATTTTACTTTTGGTAACTTTTGGCTCTACTGATGATATTAAATTATTTTATTTTATTTTTTGAATGCCTCTTATATGCTTGGAACATCAAGAACTGTGTTTATACATAGACAAACAAACACACAGAAGATCTTGGTACGAAGCTTGTCTCTTTTACGTAGGACCTTTATCCTTTTCTTCCATCTTGGGATAGCCGAAAGAAACCATTTTTTTTTTTTGTTCTTTCTGCTTTCAAGTGAGTGCAGGTTTGGACAAACTGTTATTCCTCTCTGTATCTCCTTCTTTATAGTTATTTCCAGACAACCCCATATGCTCTATTTATTTGATAGGGTGGTCCATAAGACTCAATTGTTCTGGCCTCCACCTACTATGCTTTTCCCTGTTGTTATTGGCTTCTTCGTTCAAGTGTCATAATTATATCTACCAAAGCAATTCATAAAGCAACACATTCAGCTTGTGTATAATTTTTTTTTTTTTTTTTTGTCCCCTTTGGTTTTCAATCAGTTATTAATGTGGTTCAGTTTCTTTCTTGTTTTCTTACTTTATTTCCATACTCACCCTCACTTCTATTTATTTTTTTTACCCCATTAAGTTTTTTTCAATCATATATAATATATCTTTATATTGGATTCATTTGTTGTATTATATAGTGTCTGGAATAGTTAATAATATTTATCTGAAGATTCTACTTGTATTGATTCCAATTCATTTCTGGTTTCAGATTCACTGCAGATAGTTCTGAGATTTGTTTAAGAGTCATGGAAAGGTTGAACTCAAAGCTTTACTTGCAGAACTGTTACATAATGAAAGAGAATGAGAGGCTAAGGAAGAAAGCTCAGATTCTTAATCAAGAGAATCAGGCACTGCTTTCTGAGCTCAAACAGAAGCTCTCAAAGGGTAGTCAGAAATCCAATGCATCAACAAACACCATTCTTGACCTTGGACTCAGCTCAAGTTCAAGTCAAAATCCTTCTAGTTCCGGCAATTAATCTGCTTAGTGAAAAGAAGCATCTTGACCCCACTAGTGACTCTATTTTAATTTTTTTTTAACCTTTTTGTGTAAAACCAATGTCAGCACTAGTAGTTGTAGTCTCTGTTCCATAGGACAATACTAGCAATCCTCTACCAGGGTACTTTTTCTTCCATTTCCATGTTTCATCACATCTTCTTTTTTTTGGGGGGGTTTAGATATGAATTTCTGAACTAGAAGGTTGTATGATGTATCAAGCCTATGTATTAGAAAGGAATATAAAGTTATTATATGTTTAGCTCTCATTGCCACTGCCTCCGTGATTATGAAAAACTATACACTAACATAATTAACATAAATTCTAACCCAATTTGGAATGCATGAATTGGGATTACCTAAATCGAAAAAGGGTAAGTGGATTCTATTAAAATATCTATGAACCTCACCCGTGATAGTCTCTTGATCTTCTGAAAGGATAAGGATTCTAGTGTACTAGCCCAATGTTCCAAATAAATAAATAAAAGTTCATGAAAATAAAATCGTTTGCTCAGTGAGTATTGAAAAGTGACAAAAAAGGGGGGGGGGGGGGGGGGGGGGGGGGGGGGGGGGGTCATATTTACTAATTAGATGACAATTTGATTTTTTTTTTTTTTTTTTTTGAGTTATCTCATACTAATTATTTTTTTGAGACAGTTGACTTCACGTGATATCTTCACAAACTTTGACTCTTTAAGCTAGCGATAAGACTAATTTTGAGTGAGGGGCGAATCAACCGATCAAGGATAAAAATATTTGACATATAGGAATCGAATCTAGACTCTTTTCTTTTTACTTACCCAACTCCGTTATTACCAAACTAGCTATTACCGTTGCTAATGAAAATTTGAAATTGAAAACGAAGGATGACGGGTAGGGCTTATCATTCAGATTCTGTTTGAAGAGAGGATCTAATGAGAAGATAAGCCATCAAAAGATTCATGAATAAAAGTCAATGAGGATTCATTAGAGTGGGTGACGAATAAGCGATGAAGTAACCCACAGAATTATCAAACTCTGGGACATCACATTGTCAATGGCATCGTGGCATATCAGTATGGTTGACTTGGGAATCAAATCACTTGTACTTTTTATATTTTTTAATTCAAAAGATAATATTTTAAAAAATTAGTAATTACATGAGAAAATATTATTACATAAAAAATTGTTTTGCTTAATTATTAATTTTTAATTAGAGGAATAAGAAAAGATATCCCATTGGCTATTTCTTTTTTGAAAAAGGGTGCTGATGGTGTTATAAAGTAATTGTCAGATTTTTATTTTAGCACAAGTTGAAATTTATAATCTCATGTATCTTATTTAAGTTTTTTTACGAATAGACCTATTCCTAATGGCTTAACTATATCAAATTTAAGTTTTAAAAATTATTTGATTATATGATTATATACATATATATATATATGAAAAATGTTTATCCTTTTAAAGAATATATGATTGTGTCATTTTAAGTGAGAGAAAAACACAACCTAGTATTTTTTTATTTTAAATTTAAATTTAAAAAAAAACCCACTTTCTCTCATGATTTTCATTGTTGGTGTCTTTCTCTCACTTAAAATGACATAACTCTACTATTTATAAGGATAAACACTAAATCCATATATATATATATATATATATATATATATATGATAGGTTATTTTGCCTACTCCCAATTTGTCTACATTTGCTTACCCCTTTCATTACCGTTCGATTACGATCTCATCCAACGGTCAATATTTGCAATATAAAATAAACATTTTTTCTCCTTTCTTTCTTTTTTCTCCTCACTTCCTCACGCATCTTTTCTCTCTCCTTAGTTTTCTCTCTTCCTCGGTGGTCAATTTTGAAACCTTACGGTACTCGATCAAAAAAGAATAAAAAGCATATACCATCGACAACCATCAATTTTGAAACCTCACCTCTTCCAAAACCTCAAAATTCCCACTGTCCATAATTCGATTTCCCAAAGATAATATGAATACCTATTTTTTTTCCAAAGATAATAAGATCTATCAGGAGCATCAAGTGCCATGGACACGCCAACACCCATTGCAGCGGTTGTATAAAAGCAGCACCTCACGTTTGGTGCCCTAATTCGCAAATCCAATTCTCGATTTACCACCAAAAATTGTCACTAGAAGAAAGCAGAAGCAGAGTTTCATTTTCGTCAACTCTCTTCCTTATACTGTTAAGTAATTACTTGTTGCGAAAAATTTACTGTTATTTAATTCAATTGAAGATCACATCTTGCTGTAAACATATACTGTTAAGTAATTACTTGTTGCGAAAAATAAAAATCAGACCACAAATGTGTAGACAAAAATGTGGACGGACGCAGAGGTGCCAATGGAAGATAATATGAATAGGTATACTACTATAGCTACTAATAATAGTACCTAATTAGATGTGAAATTCCCATAATTTTTTTCGTTCCAAACAGGTTTTGATCTTTGGGAAATCGAATTATGGATAGTGGAGATTTTGAGATTTTGGAGGAAGTGAGGTTTCAAAATTGATGGTTGTCGATGGTATGTGCTTTTTGTTCTTTTTTGATCGAGTACCGTAAGGTTTCAAAATTGACTGTCGAGGAAGAGAGAAAGCTAAGGAGAGAGAAAGGGTGCGTGAGGAAGTGAGGAGAAATAAGAAAGAAAGGAGAAAAAAAGTTTATTTTATATTACAAATATTGATCGTTGGATGAGATCGTAATCGAACGGTAATGAAAGGGGTAGGCAAAGGTAGACAAATTGGGAGTAGGAAAAATAACCTATCCCATATATATAGGTAAAATCATTTCTGCAGCCGCATTACGTACAGCAACGACAGGTGTATGGTTATGATTTTCTACATTTAATGCTTTCATCCTTTATATGGTTATGATTCCCCGCATTTAATGCTTTCAAGTATATATATGGCAAGTATTTGATTGTTGTACGTATAGTAGCTGAAGATATGTAAACCCCATATATATATGGCTTATCGTTTCTCAAGTTGCTTGAGATACTTGCTACTAAATCATAACCGCACAAAGATGGATCAATAGTGATAAAGGAAGAGATAAAAAGTGAATTATAACCATTTAAAGGTGAATCAATTAATATAAGAAAATAAATAAACAAAACGACGTAGTTTTTGGGTGGACGGAGATAAATATATCTTAAGCTGTTTGAGAAATATTTTTCTCATATATATATAGTTTGACACCAGATCCTAACCTTTAATTTTTGTCAATCAATGGTTATAATTTATTGGGTCAAACTTATTAATTAATTAGTAATTCGCAATAAATTATAATCATTGATTGGGGGATATCAATTGTTAGAATCTGGTGTCAAACTAAAAAGTTTGATACCAGTGTCAAATGATCTTATCCCACACACACACATATATATATATATGTGAGACATGATCATTTGACACCTCATATGAGAGTTGTTGATATTAACTTAACAAATGCGGAAGCTAACTGGTCAACTTTTTCTTATTTTTATGTATTACAAATGTTATCACTTCCATGGCCAAAATAAAACGGACGGCATTTCATCTGTATTTTGGACCATTGGGGACATTTCCCACCATGACAATTTTCACCTAATTAACAGTTTAAACATATCTCAACCACAACACAACATAGATGAAACATATTACCCAGCCATACTTGGCCTAGGCTATCTCATACCCATCGAGTCTCAAAATAATGTCCATGATGTTACTTATATAATTACATCAAATAAATAAAAGAGATGCAATTAATTAAGTAACATAGATCTGGGTGTACATCACTGATGACATATACAAACTACCAATATGGCATAAACTCCCCTATGCTCTCCAAAAAGAATCACATGACATATACAACTCAAAATAATAACATGTCAAAATAGCAAATTAATCCTGACTATCAGGTCAGGTAATATCTATCCCCGGGCCTCTTGGCACACGATGCTTCAACACCATCAGCTTCTATACCTGAAATGGTAATCTCCATAATGTTGGGTGAGATAATATAATTACCTCAGTAAGCTATGAACCCTTGGAGGGCTCCTCCACCCCTAAGCTCACTCCTGGTATAACCACAGTATAAAATTCATGCATGCATCAGAATATGTATATCAATGCAGTGTGCAGATAATAAATCATAATGGCCAGAGAATAAAATATGTATGCATTACGCAAGGTAACTCATCCTGCAACATACCTGTACAAGGTAATTCATCATGTACTACGCATAAGGCAACTCTTCTTATACATGCATGCATCAGAATATGTATATCAATGCAGTGTGCAGATAATAAATCATAATGGCCAGAGAATAAAATATGTATGCATTATGCAAGGTAACTCATCCTGCAACATACCTGTACAAGGTAACTCATCATGTACTACGCATAAGGCAACTCTTCTTATGTGGCACACAAACATACATACATATACATGCACCATATAACAGTTCATATCCACATACCATATGAAAGAACCACCCTCCCTTGGAGTTTGGTGGAACAAATGGGGGATTAACCCAAAGAAGAGAAAGATTACCTAGAATAGCTCTCAAACCTAGCCTCCTCCAAGTCAAGTAAGGTCCACGAGCCAACAAAATGCTCTATCAATAAGCATAACACCTATTTCAAGGTGAAAATTATCACAATTAATCACATATTCATTATGTAAGCCTTATGTCAAACCATTGTTGATACTTAACTTAATCCCAAGCTATCAAGAACCTTGGTCAATGTCCATAGCTTGGTCTAGCTTATGCTCTTGCTCCACTAGTCCACTTGGTTTCACACTATAAACAATGAACACATATCCATCAATATTCACATTTATAAACTCAACGTGAATCATACACAAAATCAAGGTTTTCACACTCTATTATCACTTGATTTTGAGTCAAATTTATCAAAGTGTTATAAATGGAGATTTCATGATTTTTTCTTTTACGGGAACCAATCCCAAACATGTTTAATAAAGGGACTCACATACAAATTACCCTCCAACTACTCAAGCCATCAAATTTTCGAAATTGACATATAGTAAAAAAAAACATGATTTTCTATAGTAAGCTAAATGATGATTTCTTTTGTTGTCTTTCATGAAGAAGCAATCCTAAGCATATTTAACAAAAAAAGCTATATCTAAATCACTCTATAACTATCCATACAATGACTTATCTTAATGTGAAAAATCCACAAATCTTCAACTCATGCGAATATGGATTCCAATATGCGGAAATCGCTCAAAACAACACTGAGATCAACTCTACAACATGAATTTACCACAAAAAACCATCACAATCCATAAAATCCTCACATTTTCGTGCATTATTCATCACAAAACCTAACTTTCTTGAAATTCCATAAAAATGAAGTTGGAGTTGGGGTTGGGGAAACTTACCATAAATCATTCTAGAATACTAGGAAAGGTAAATCCTAAGCTCCATTGTTCCCCAGACACTCAAAATCACTCAATTTTCTTCAAAACTCAAAATGGTAGATGGGTGGTATCTCACTCCACACAAATCCCCACTTGAAAATGACGGTTTGGCTTTGAAGAGGAGAGAATTTGATACACTTTTGTCTTTGGAACCAAGTGATTTGGGTGAGTGTAGCTGAAGATACCAATTTTTGAAGTTTTTCTCCTTTCTTTGAAAAGTGGGGGTATGGAGAAGAAATGAGAGAGAGTTTCTTAACATATTTAAGTGAGTTCTGTATTTAAGTGGATATAATTTTATCTATATCGTTCAGTTAACTATCATTTCAACTTTACACAATAGTCTAGAATATTTTTGTGATAATATTTATTATTTTACTTTTATTTTTTGGATAACTTTTTTTTGGAGTCACTTTTTAGATAACTTTATTTACCCGTATTTTTATCACTTAAGTGTCATTTAACTATTTTTCGCAACGTGGCTTTAACTCATCTAATTAGACTTCCCATCTAATTACTCTTCAATATTTATCATAAATTCCTTAACCCATAATTAAATCCACAATTTAATGTTTGGGTCATTATATATCAAGATATAAATAAAATTAATAATCAAAATTGAAAATATAATTTATACGGTTGTAAAACGATACGACAGATTTAATTAATATTAACTATTAAATTAGAGGCTTTTTATTTTACAATGCAGAGGATTCATATCCATTAAATTTTTTTTTGCCGAGTGTGTGTATATATGTATATAGCTTTTTTAGGAACATAACATCATTATTTTTAGAGAGAAAAATATAGGGTCTAATTGTATTCTAATTTTTTTTTATTCTTAAAACTGTTTTATAGAATAGTTATGGAAGCATATATTTTTTTTTTTGTTTTAAAAGTTAAAAGTTAAAACACAAAACAAAAATAACTTAAATATGTTCTTTAAATTTGATTCTAAAAACAAAAAATAATTATAATTTTTTTACAAAACAAGTCTTATGAAATATTTTTTTTTTTTTATAAAAACTAAAAAACTATTTTTAAAAATAGTATTCAAACATGGCCATGACTTCGTGTTCAAACTTATATTGCTATTCCCTTTGGTCGCCCTGAATATTACTATTCTCTCTCTTCAAGGTGCAATAAAGAATGTCTAATCAAAATTCAAGGGAAATTCACAATCCTGCATCTAACTGGAACTGACCTCTTAAGGTCACCAAAGCAGGTCACCAGCTCAGAATGTCAATTTTGATATAGAATTAAGGACCGGGGCATGATGACTGAGATTCCCTTTGAAGACCCACAAGTCAGCAAAAAAAATAAAAAAAAATAAAAAAAAATCTATAGATTTAATAAATGGGACAAAAAATGACTGAAAGATACTGAAAAATATAAATGATATACATCTGCAAAATAATAAATAAATTAACAAATAGTAATATGGAGTTCAAGTATAACAGAAGTATATGGTTTAAACCATAAGGTACCTCAGAGGAGGGCCAACATGTCCCTGCATTTACCACTGCTCCCCTTGGATTTAACTTACTTGTATTAAATGTTTGTTGAAATTATATTCTCTTTGCTACAGAGGATCTGCAGTCTGCAGATTCGGCCATCATAACCATATCTAAGACTATGGAGTTAGGACGTGTTAGATATAGAAAATCAATAATAAAGGAGTATATAACAATTAAATTTAAAAGAGAGAAAAATTATCCTTTGTCTTTCTATCATATATAAAAAAAATGGTTAGCTCAAGTAGAAGCAAAATTGAAAAATTATTTCAAAGGAACTTAAAAAATGCAAAATGTTGAATTTGGGAAATCATCGTGGGTGCACACCATGCAAATGGCCTAAAGACACTGAGATTCTAGGTCGCGATGTAAGTGTTACACAGAACTGAAGTGGAGAAAAAGTTAATGACTGACTCTAGTAATGTGGGTAAAAATTGTGTGGCTGGGTAAAGATTGAATCAGCTCAGGACAATTCTTATGATATAGGACCCCACTTGAGGGCCACTTCATCACACACACAAAATGATGATTTCACAAAAATAGCAACCTTCACAGGATGTGTATAAATAGGAGATAATTTTTGAACTGTGAATAAAAGTAATAATTAAAAAAAAATTCGACCACTCCTTTCTATGTCTGTCATTTTTGTATAAAAAATATGCCGTAAAACTATCATGATACTTAAAAAAGGAAGCGGTGTTAGTGACTTATACATTTTTTTTTAGAAAAAGTTCACCAATGCCTCTGTGGTTTGCTTCAGAATTATTTATGTTCCTGTGATTTTTTTCTTATCACATATGCCCCTGTAGTTTGTAAAAGGGTATGTTTTTTATCACATATACCCCTGTGGTTTCTTATTTTTTACAAAACACAGGGACATATGTGATAGAAAAAAAAACCACAGGGACGTAAATGATTCTGAAGCAAACCACAGGGGCATTGGTGAATTTTTCCCTTTTTTTAATAAAGTACTTTAATTAAAAAGATAAAAAAAAAGTGAATCCAAACGGATATAAAGAAACTCATTTCCATGTAAAATGTTATGATACGGCAATATTTCCTTAATTTACTTGCAGAAACTTGCCACTTTCTGAAACTTAAGAAAAGGCTTGAATACCCTTCAAGACTAATAAAGTATACAAATACGCCTTTGACAAAGGATTAGCACAATGGTTGAGCAATTGAAAGATGAATAAGCTAATAATACTTTACCATTTTAAGGGTAATTGAGTTGTATGTATTTTGGCTGTATGCTTTTATCTTGCTATGTCTGTATCCTCTCTACATACTCCCATTCATTACATTTGTATCTTCCTAATTCATCTCAAAGCCCATAGGCCGTAGGTGGGACCCACCAATTATCCAAAGAATAAAAAATAGAAGCTAAGAAGCATAAATAAATATGTTAAAGCTTGAAAAAGAATAAAAAAATGATAAAACAAATAGATAAATAAAAAAGTAAAACTTTCTTATAGAATTCATTCTTTGTTCTCTAATTCTTGTCTAACATTCACATCTAGGACTTTGCTATTCCCTGTCTCCATGAGCAATACCCTTGCCAACAACTGCAATTATCTATTCTATCATTATACAAATCTGGGCCGGTCATTGGGGAAAGAAGCCACAAGAAGCCCAGGAATCCCAGTATGACTGCTACACTTACTATCCCTGAAACAAAAACAAACAGAAACAGGTAATCTTGGAGCATAAATGAATAAGTGACATTTATAAGGAAATGAATGGTAAAGCCATAAATCCCACGTCCATAGTTCAAGACAAAAAAATGTGCAGACTATTAGTACAGCTAATCGTACTAACTAGGTGTATATGAAGCCTCAGACAGCTCTATCAAAAAGCAGGTACCAGACCAAATTATCCAAGGCCCTTAGGGTGGCACCATCGGATATTGGATCTAAAATTTAATAATGGCCTTGAAAGCACCAAGCACTACATTTCAGCCTTCATACTAGAGAAATCCATAGTTAAAATCAAAATTAACATACTTTCACTCAAAGAACAAACTTAGAAAAAATAATCATTTAATCTTGATTCATTGTTAGTGTAAATTTTCAGTTAAACATGTGCTGTGACATATGTAACAAACTCTTAAAATTTTGTTTATTGCGAGTGATGTCTTAGTTACTCCAGTGATGTGATACTTTCTTTTTACTAATAGCTTAGAACTTTACAATGATCAACATCAACATCAACAACACCTTTATCCCTAATTAATTGGGGTCGGTGGTAGATGAACCCACATGAAAGATACAAAACGGTTGAAAAAAAGTAAAAAAATAAAAAAAAAAAATAAATAAATAAATAAATAAAAATACACAAATAAAATAATAAAATAAAATAAAATGAAATAAAAATATATGTATATATAAATAAATAAAAGTAAAAAAGAAAGGGACAAGAAGAAGTGGGGGAAATGAAGGGGAAAAAGACTAAAAAAGGACCATCTGGAACATAGGAATAACAGCGAGTCTAACCCTCCACCATACTTATAGCTTTTCTCCATTCCTTTCTAAGACATATTGTCCGCCAATCTATATCCCACTCCATTAAATCTTGTTTTACTACTTTCCCCCAAGTAAGCTTCGGCCTACCTCTGCCTCTTTTTGTGTTTAGCTCTTGGTAACAAACTTCTGTTCTTACAGGAGCATCCATGGGTCTTCTCATCACGTGCCCAAACCACCTCAATCTATGTTCTCTCATCTTCTCGGCTACCGGTACTACTCCGACCTTTCGTCGAATATCTTCATTTCTTATCTTATCCATCCTTGTGTACCCACACATCCACCTTAACATCCTCATCTCTGCTACTCCCATCTTATGCTCATGTTGCCTATGTGCTGGCCAGCATTCCGCTCCATATAGCATTGCCGGTCGTACTGCCGTTTTATAGAATTTTCCTTTTAACTTCAGGGGAATTTTGCGGTCACACAAAAATGCAGATGCACTACGCCATTTCATCCACCCTGCTCTGATTCTGTGATTTACATCCTCATCAATCTCTCCACCATTTTGTAAAATGGAGCCCAAGTATTTAAAAGCATTTTTTTTTGGTACCTCTTGACCATTTAGATGCACAGGTTCTTGGTCCTCATCTTGTACCAGAGAAAACTCACACTTCAGATACTCAGTCTTGCTTCGACTTAATGTGAATCCTCTGGATTCCAATGTGCTTCTCCACAATTCAAGTTTTCTATTAACACCCTCCTTGCTCTCATCAATAAGCACAATATCGTCTGCAAAAAGCATACACCATGGCACTTCCTCTTGAATATCTTTTGTTAGTTCATCCATAACTAAGACAAATAGGTAAGGACTTAGAGCCGACCCTTGGTGTACACCTACCGTGATAGGAAAATAACTTGATGATCCGTTACAAGCTTTTACACATGTAGTAGCCCCATCATACATATCCTTGATTGCCTTTACATACTTTAATGGAACCTTTTTCTTCTCCAGGACCCACCATAAAACTTTCCTTGGAACCCTATCGTATGCTTTCTCAAGGTCTATGAACACCATATGCAAGTCCTTCTTCTTTTCTCGGTATCTTTCCATTAGTTGTCGCATCAAGAAAATGGCTTCCATGGTACATCTTCCTGGCATAAATCCAAATTGATTTACAGAAACCTTGGTATCTCTCCTCAAGCGATGTTCAATAACCCTCTCCCACAGCTTCATAGTATGACTCATTAGCTTAATGCCTCTATAGTTTGAACAATTCTGTATATCTCCCTTGTTTTTGTAGATAGGCACAATCATACTTTTCCTCCATACATCAGGCATCTTATTCGTCTGGAGAATCTTATTAAAAAGATTGGTCAACCATTTTATTGCCACATCCCCCAGGCCTCTCCACACTTCAATAGGGACACCATCAGGCCCCAAGGCTTTATTAGTCTTCATCCTCTATAAAGCCTCCTTAACTTCATGTGTATTAATTCTGCGTACAAATCTTCTATTCATATCATCATACGCGTCCTCTAAGTCCACCTCGCTTGTATTTCCATCCCCATTAAACAGCTTGTTGAAGTATTTCAACCATCTTTCATTTACATCTTCATCTCTCACCAGAAGTTTTTGATTTTCATCCTTGATGCATCTAACTTGAGTGAGGTCTTTACTTTTCTTATCCCTTATCCTTGCAAGTTTATAAATACCTCTTTCACCATCCTTGCTCCCAAGACTTTTATACAACTCGTCGAAAACCTTGCCTCTCGTTTCTCGCACTGCTTTCTTTGCATTTTTTCTCGCCAATCTAAACTTTTGCAGGTTCTCTTCATTGGGACTTTTATGCAAAGATCTAAAGCACTCCTTCTTATGTTTAATTGCCTCTTGCACCTCTCCATTCCACCACCATGTTTCCTTTGTATGAAATCCATTTCCTTTGCTTTCTCCAACACCCTCCTTCCCAAATTTTGAATACACTTAGTCATCTCATTCCATATTGCATTTACTCCTCCATCAAACTCCCAAGGTCCTTCGTGCAACATTCTATCATTGAACTCTCTCTTTTTTCCCTCCTTAAGCTTCCACCACCTTATCCTTGGATTCTGAGCCCTCTTCTTCATTGTACGTACTTTGTTGAACCGAACATCCAAGACTACCAGCTTATGTTGCGTAGCAACACACTCTCCAGGGTAGACCTTACATTCGACACAAGAAGTTCTATCTTCTCTTCTAGCCAGAAAGAAATCAATCTGACACAATAATCCTACACAATAATTCAGTACGAACAAGTAACAGCAATTTAAGATGGCTAATTTTTTTCAATAATAACTATATAAAAAAATAATCTTCTTTACTTTCTACTTTCTCCAATCTTTTCTTCAAATTTTTAGTAAATAATCCATAATGAAAAGAGTTATGGAGAACTATTAACCAATAGTACAACTTCTAAGGATTCAAAAATTCATAATTCAGACCTCCAGTCAGAAGTCCAATTGAAAACTAAACTTGCAAATCTATTATAACAAACGTTAGTAAAATTTTGAGCTCTAGATTATAGTAAGATGAGGATATTTCAAGAATTGAAAGAGAAGAAATCAAAAGCAAAGGCTTGTAAAGAAAAATATAAAAGTTATTTTCAAGTTTCGAATTTACTCCATAGGAAACTTTATAAACATACCACTTCTGGACGAATACAATACAGGCAGTCCCATAAAATTACAGTATATGTGAGCAACTAATGGAGCTATAAGATGTCCTGCAAAGCACACAGCAAAAAACAACTATAAGAGAATGAAAAAGGAAGACCAGGTCACCAAAACACAAAAGGGACTAAGTTGACTTGTCGTTAGAACTGAGCCAATCCCAAAAATTAGCTTTTAGCACTAATCCAATTTCTCCACAGCCATATAGATAAAAGAAAAACAGGTTTAAGTGAACAGTGAAGAGAATGATACCAAGTCATAATTTCGTACTTATTACTCTTTTCTATCATTTCAACATGCAAAAGAGACAAACTTTCTGTGCTTATATGGCAACTACACAAATTTATATTTATCCAGCAAATAATAATTGACTTTTATTGTATGCTTTAATTTTTTTTTCCTTTACACCCAGTGGTGGACCTATGTATGCGCCATTGTCCGCAAGTGCGGACATAAATTTTTGAAAGAAAAAAAAAACTAGCTCCAACCTCTCTTTCGATCCTCCTCCTCCTCTCTCCCCCTTCTTCATCTCCATTTTTGCTCACATCAACAGGTAGAGGCGGAACTAGGGCAGGGTTAGGGGGTAAATACAATGGAGTCGCCTATTAACGCCGTTTGGAGTAGAGCCAAAATCTCATTTGCGGCTTCTCAAACATGAAGAAGACGAATCTCACTCTCACTCGCACACTCTCAAACGAGTTGATAGTAGAAATTCTGTTGAGGTTACCGGTGAAATCTCTTCTGTGTCTCAAATGTGTGTCTAAGTCATGGTTCTCTCTCCTTTCCGATCCCCAATTTGCAAAATCCCATTTTGACCTAGCTGCTGCACCCATCCACCGACTTCTTCTTCAACCGAATGACCCTTTTTTGTGTTGAATATGAATTGAATGACTTTTCTTTTCCTGTATCCATAGATATAGATGCATTATTTCATGATGATTCTGCTCTAGTACACCTCACTGCTCCAAATCCATTATCACTCCCTGAGTGTTTTGAAATTTTGGGTTCCTAATGATGATTTTATTATATGGAATCCATCAGGCTTTTTTTCTTGTCTGTCCTAAATTTTGATAATACTGATTTTTTTTTTTCAGAAAGAGCATTTTGCCATAAGAGAAAGGAAAAAGTCAGAGGATCCAAATTCAATTGACTCTGATGATCTCAAGGCAATGAGGTTTACTGCACGGTAATATGTTTGTGTCTTTTGAATTAACATTATTTAGTTTGATTGGAAAATAATCGTGTAGAATATTGGATCAAAATTTTGATGTTGTCAGCTATCTCTGTCTTTTGCAGGTGATTTTTGTCATGGAACTGAATGGTGGGTTTTGAGAGGCCAACTATGTCTCTTTAGTCTTAACTATTGTAGTATTTTAAGTTTATGGGCTCAAGAAGCTTTTTTTTTTTTTTCCTTCTCGGGCTTCTTTCAGCCACTTTTACAGTATAAAAAATTAGGAAGGGGGAGTTTATTGATTGTGAGCATCTTCTTGCTGCTATTAACAGGGTTATTGAAGCTTTATATGCATGTTGTTTACAGGCTATTTGATTCCTAAAGGGTGGAGGATTTATGCACAAGAGAGATCAATTATGACCCATTTCTATATCATGAGCCACTAACATTCAACCCATGGAGATGGCTGGTTTATAACTCACCTTCCTCATTTTTTTTATTCATAAATTTGTATTTGCAACTAGCATTGAACTCTGTTTTAAGTCTATACTTTCATCCATGCTCTTGATATTTGTTATTTAAGATTGATGCCTTATAAAGGAAGATTAAAATTAAGCATTTGCAAAGAATGATAACATTTATTACCAACCTTGGTTTCAAGCTCTGCTTTGAAGGCTTAGATTAAATGCATATAGTAAAATAAGTCGTATAGTTTTTATCAATCATTAGATTGGCTTGACAATGTGACTAGGGATACAAGGCGCTTCTCAATGTTATCCCCCGTTTATGAGTGAGTGATTAGTATTTCAATATAAATATAACAAAACCTACCACTTTATATATTCTTTTGTTAAGTTGAAGTTTTCTATTCTTTTCTTGTTTGTATTCTTTTGTTTTTTAATACATTTAAAACTTTATTTAAAAAATGTTTTTCGGGAGTGCTGCCCCCAAACCCCCACCACTCAATGTGCGGAGATAAATAAAAATTTCTAGGTCCGCCACTGTTGACGCTCGATGGCCGATAAAGGTAAGGTAAGGGACAGAACCAATGCTGTGTGGAAAGATCTTGTAAATTTCTCTTTAAAAGAGAAAACGAGAGTTAGATCCGCTAATTTGTAAGTTTAACAATTACGTTCCTGATTTTTATATAATTGGCAAGCATATAATTATAGAAAAGTTATCATCTATTATTTTAAAATACTTTTAGAAATGAAGTACTCATAAAGACCATTGTCTTTTAAACTTAAGAATACATTCACTTTCCTGTCTATAGTGCAGAATGCAGAGTCATTTTAACTCTCAACTTCTATTATGCCATTTATACATGACATCTGTCCAATCATTCTTTTTGTGCCATGCTGTATGAATCTGAATTTGTTTTTCAGTAACACATTCTATCATCATTGAATAGAAGTCAGACAAAATATAACATAGTCATGAGCCATAACATCTCACATACCAGTTCGAATGAAAAGAAAGGATGCATATGACCCAAAGATAACAGTGTAGCCAAGTTGGAGACCTGTAGACATAATTCATTTTGCAGTGTGAGATCATTATCCAACAACATTATGCTTTCTTGAAATGCGTTGAAATCTCAAATTCTCAATAAAAGAGACAGCAACCCTGCCAGTGAGACTTTGACAAAAAAAAATTCTGGCACTTCATAAATTATGTAAACATTGACCATACCTATAACCATAACAGCCTTCTTTATTCTGTAGTTTTGCTTCGCGTAAATCTCCATGAAATGATTTAAATGTGCTGCAAACCAATCATGCAGCAAAAATTTTCATTAAGCCTAGCATTTGAAAATGAAAATAATTTTTGCTCATTGTTTTCTTAACTCTACAGCCAAATGGAGGTTTATTGAATATTGTAAGGGATTTTAGTTCACTATCAAAACTTTTATCTTGCTACCCAAAATATGCAATACTTTCATCCAAATCTAAAGAACTTCCAAAAATGTTTCTATGCTTACATCTTAAGACAACACTAATGAAAAGGGGTGTGATAGGATTCCTCCTACAGTGCAGGTTTACATTAGGAAGGGCTGTAGGAGATTGGATCCTTCCCAGAATGCTGATCGTGCATAACTTCCTCCTTTCTTGGCGGGAAAAGCTGTTACTAACAGCATGGGTATGTGAGTAAGCTGTTAAATAGTGAGAGAAGGGGTGGATAAGGGTAGGCTAATTGTTAGGAAGATTTGGTAGAGACCAGATGCCTCCTGAATGCTCTGGAGCTATGTTTTGTTTCTTTTACTGATATTTTGAACCACTTCCAGACTGATATCACATGGATATCAGCCACCATAATACCAGACTCTGTTTTTCTGATCATCTTCTTCCTCTCTTATTTGCTCAAATCCAATCAGGGTGTTTGTGTGCGTGAACAGAGGTTTCTCCAGTACCCTTCCTTTTTTGTGAGGCTACTGGTACCCCTGATCAATTAGTAGTTAATACTTAATATTTATTCATGTGTCCCACTTGTTTGAAATATAGATGCAGCAAGTTATTTTTGTATAAATATTTTATCCATATAATGAATTTATTATGTCCCCTTCTAATTAATCTTAGAAAAGTTTATTGACAACTTCTTACTAAAAATAGCACATAAAAAAGTACAATGAACTTGAGCTCTAATAAAACTTGGTAGAATGCCATTGATCAAATCCCTAAAAGTACCACAATGGATGATTGCTGACTTCTCTTGAACACATTTGAGTTACTAAATGCCAAATAGAAAATTCTACTCTACAACCAGAGAAACCAGATACATCTTCTAGAATTGCCATCTAAGAACTTACCCAAGCTGAAGAAAATAGGGCAAAGAAGTATGACACTATATGTCTTAAATCCTCCACAGAGAAGTAAAGGTATCATGCAAGCCCTAAACACCAACTCCTCAGTAAGGGGTGCCTGTTCAGTACATCAAAATAAAACATTCCCATAAAACACACATCACCTAAACTGTATTCACAAGACAGTAAGTAGTATTTTCTTTTATGCTTCAATTCTTATTATACTAAAAGTACTAACCACAATATAGTTTCGCCATGCCAAAACATTTGATGAAGTTGCAGATAACCAGCCAAGCAACATCCGCAAGACGTATTTACAGGAATCAAAGGAAAGGGCACCACCAGAACTTGTGTGTTGCCTCCAAGAATCCAGCAACAAAAGAGACTTGAGGGACAAAGACCCAGCATACATTAGAGAGGTCAAGGAAAGTGGAAGGACCACAGCTTGCCACTGTTTCATACATAAAACCCATATTTCAGCAAGGAAATTTAGGAATGAGAGTGACCCTTGTATTTTCCAATCTGCATATCATAACAACAAGAGTATAACTTGAAATCTCCACACAATATATATATAAAAAAAGCATCTTTTATTTTTTGAAAAAAATGTTTGTCATTTTAAACGGCATAATTTTGTGTCATTTTTTAATAAAACTAGTTGTTTTGGTGTGTTTTTACATTATCTCTATTCCATTTTCTTTTTCTTTCCAATTTTATAAAAAAGAGAAAATGACACCAAAACGTCGTAACATAACTTTATGTTATTTAAAATGACAAACACTTCTCCCTTTGTTTATCCCTAGTATTTGAAAAGAAAAACATGTTAAAATGCATCAACTGAACCAGTGAGTGTGATACTCACAATGTGATCCACTCGGATGCCATAAACACCAAAAATATACCGCGGTTCCTTATTTTGCACCTGCCCACATGGTTAAATAACATTATAATAACTAAATTAAGCATTCTAACATAAACTCGAGAAAATGTGATTATTAAACCTAAATCAACTAATATGCACTAATACTAAAAATTAATAATAAAAAGGGAATAAATAAATAAATAAATAAAAGGAAGGGTAAAGAGAGAGAAGGAGCATACATACTGGGAGGATGAGAACAGAGAGGAAGAAAGAGAGGATGGATGAAACGAAGGCGCATAGGAAGCGTCGAATCATGAAATTTTTGAGAGAAGAAGGAGGTGGGAGACGAAGGAGCACGGTGGGTGCGTATAGGATAGCAACGTAGAGAAACGCCATTGCTATGCAGACGATCACTGCAACTGGTTTAGAAACGACACCGTCTTGCTCCATTGCTATAGCTTCTGCTTGCAGTAACCCTACAGAACAAGACATACACACAGATTTAACAGAATCTTAAATCTCAATTTCTTTAGGACTTTAGGTTGACTCTTCACTCCTTGAGTACTGTTTAGTGTTTGTTTGGTATCTTTTTTTTCCTTTTCTTTTTTTTGAAGTACAAGCTGTTTGGTATCTTATAGGGCTGGCAATATGGGCCAGCCCGCCCCGGCCCGCCACTAGCCCGCCCAAAATGGGCTGGCCCGCCCCGGTCCGTTTTGACAAAATGGGTTGAATTGAGTAACCCGGTCCGTTTTATGAGTGGGCTGGTGGGCTACGGGCCAGCCCGCCTAAAATAAAAAAAATAAAATAAAATACAAAAAATTAAATTCTGCATAAAATCACATAAAAAAATCTGCATAAAAGCATACAAAAATCTGTATAAAATCCTAATGTGCTTATGAAACCAAGAAGATCAGTGTTTAATAATCTGCATATAAATATGCATCTTTCAATCCAAAAATAATAATAAAAAAATAAAATCATATCAGGATAAAATAGAATAACAAAACAAGTAACAAAGTGTTGTATGAGCAGTCCACAACAATTCAAAAAAGCCACTTGCAAGCAGAGAAATCTAAGATACGGAGCTACATAACAATTGGGTAACCTAAAAAAAAAAAAAAAATGACTTGGCGGGCTGACCCATATGGGCTGGCGGGTTTGGCGGGGCGGGTTTGGCGGGCTGGTGGGTTGAAAGACTCAACCCAGCCCGCCCCATTTGGCAGGCGGGGCGGGCCAGCCCGGCGGGCTCAGCCCATTTTGCCGGCCCTAGTATCTTAGTCCCCGTGAAGTTGTTGTCAAGTGAAGTAAAATTTGTCAAAAAATCAAATAAAAAAAAAAAGTAATTTTTTAATAATAGTTTTCCAATGGTATGCAATAAGAGTTACATAAAAAAAATATTATCTCCTACACTCACATTTTTTAAATGGGTTTAATAAGAATTTTTTCTCTCACCTCCAACTTTTTTCTCTCCTATTTATTGTTTGAGTAGGAAATAATATTTCTCTTATGCAACATACGAAAAATATTACCCAATAACTTATTGAATTATTCAATGTTCAATATAATCTTTATAATATTTTATTAAAGTATAATCTTGAATAAAATTATTTAATAAAAAGTTATTAAATAATGGATTCAGTATTCCTATGCAAATATGAAATAATTTTATTTTTTATACATACATAAAAATAAATCAACCTTATTCTTTTTTCTTTAACTCTCTTCTTTTTATATAATTATATTTATTTTTATATACGTGCCGAAGATGTTAATCTTCTAAATAATATAACAATAATTTTGACTTACATCTTTTCTCTTTTAATTTCTTGTAGGTTTAAACTCTCATTGTTCTAATTAATTTCTCTTGGGCAAAAGTTATATTTTTGTGTTCAAAGTTTTAACAAAATTTTAATGTATTCTTAGTTTTTTAATTTCATTTCTAAAGTTCTTATAATATTTCAATGCTATACTCTAATGGTACTCATTTTACAAACAAAGTAATATTGACGTGGATTGAACGAGTCCACTTATAACTAAAACAAAATTAAAAAAAAAATACATTTAACAAAACAAAGTACTCAGGGAGCGTTTGGTACTAGAGAAATTCTTTTGTATCCTGAAATCACAATTACTTAGAATATATTTGGAACAAATATTATCTGAGAATGTTACAAAAAAAAGTGTTTGGTAAGACAAAATATTACCGGGAATATTAGTTAATTTTTTTAAAAGGCTATTTGGTTAATAACAAAATTTTGTTGGGAATATGATAAAATTTTACGCAAATACCCTCTTAAAGAATAACTTTAATTAAAGACAATTTAGATACAAAATAACAAAACAAAACGCAGATACAAAATAACAAAATAAAACGCAGAAAACAAAATTTTACGCAAGTCTCAATTTAGGCACAAAGTCAATGATGCCTCTCTCTGTCTAAAATGTCTCTGTCGCCGGTTCACAACAGCAAGGCACTGCATAATTACTAGTTGTGTCCATGGGAGAGGCCATAACCCGCCATGTAAGCTGAAACAAAGGAACAACAAATGGGTCAAGGGAAGGGTAATTTAGTCCGAGAAATTTGTGAAAAAGAAACCAAGAACTAGGAACAAATAATTACCATGTTCTAAATGGTAATTATAATTCACACACTGTAGTGTAATAAGGAAACCCGGGAACAAACTATACTCAGTCAAATTTTCAGTTTTCCTATGGAAATAAGAAATTCTCACTTCCACTTTCCAAGATATCCAAAATTATACACTATACCAAACAGCCCCTTAAGGATAAATTTAACAATTACAGTTCTTAAATAAAAAAATTGAGTACACTATTTTAATATTTTTAGGTATCTATTTATCTTATGTTGCATAAGTAATTATCTTATGCAATAGGGACAAGGTAATGGGGTCCACTATCTTTTCTTTTTTTTTTTAAAAAAAAATAGTGCTCATCACTACGTTGTCTCTACTATTGCATAAGATAATTATTAATGCAACATAAGATAATTATTTTTCATATTTTTATGATTAAAATAAGGGTTTAGTATTTTTCATGTTTTATGAGATAATCTTTATCTTCTACACACATAAAAATGTGTGGGGCCATATTTCTTTCTTTCTCTTTCTTTGTCTCACATGGGCTCATGTGGGCCGACCATACACACTTTTAGGTGTGTTTAGAAAAAAAATTATCTCCTACGTCAGAAACATTAAATCCTTAAAATAATTAGTTTGTTATTCCCACACTTCATAAAATCCAAAACAAAAATTTTATACACAATGTTATCAAACTCAGAAGGGAAATGTTATATTTACAAACTTTTTATTTACAAACTACACTAAGTATAACTGGTCATACTTCAATCAAGAGTGTATGACTGATCATACTTATTGTAATTTGAAAAAAAAGTTTGTAAAGGATCCTTCCCCAACTTAGATTATAATGACCGATTCAATTGGGAATCCCCAACTAGTTTGGTCTACTAATTCAACCGCTAATGTATTTAACCTGATATGACCTGATCAAACTGACCATAGATTGAACCATTGTCAAATTGGTGTCAGTTTTTAGTTTAAATTCATCGTTGTTTACTGATGTGCCTCTGGCAAGTGTGGTTTTTCCATGTTAAAATTGATAAGAATTGAGTCATAAGAGAGAAATTTAAATACATATTTGCTATTTATATTGATTCTTTCTATATCAATAATATTCATCTTTTGGTTGTGTTTTTTACAGGAAAAAGAGGAGTGAAAATTACAAATTATACAAAGCCTGTTGATGCGACTCCACACGCACAAATGTATCACAGTACAACTGCCAGAGACTTGGCGCAAGTTGGCACCACACTGGCGCAAACCCGCGCCAGATTGCGAACTTTGTAGTGGAGGCCTTGTGCATGGCGCCACTAGGCGCCCAATCATGAAGAACATGGCGCTCATCAACGCCCAAAATGAAGCAAATCAGCGCCCAAATTGCAAGAACATGGCGCCACTAGGCGCCCAACAAAGAGAAGAATGGCGCCACTAGGCGCCTAAGTCAAGGAAGAATGGCGCTAGTTGGCCCCAGGTTACGAGGAAGTGTTCGGACCTTTCAGAAGCGCGGCGCGAAGTAGCGCCACACCAGCGCCAACTGGCGCCGGGTTGCGGGAAATTGTATCGTGATGCTATGAGGGTATTTTTGGAAGAAGGAAAGGAGTCCTATAAATAGGATCCTTTTAACAGAATTAGTCATTCAGACCTATTTCTTCAGAAGTAGACCGACGACAGAGCTCAGGAGAATTCTTCTACAGTTCTTCTTCTTCTCTTTTCTTCTTAATTTTATGCTTTTGAATATTGGATAATTTTTAGCCATGATTATGCTTGGCTAGTTTTCTTTTATTGTAGTTAGGGTCACAAACCCTATGTGAACCCTTGTTACGCGGATTGATTTATAATTGCTCGTTTATATAATTATCTTTATCTCTACCTTGTTCGTATTTGATATTTTCTTTATTAGAATTGATCACTCTAATAGTTGATAATAGTCTGAGGGTTAGAACCCTAGATAGGGATATTGGGGTTTTCATCCTGAAAGGGGGTAGGATAACGGTTCGTATGCATGCTAGGAATAGATGTGTATTGAATTGCGGATGCCTAAATTATAGAGTTCATCGCTTAATTTTCATGAGGGGTCGCTAAGGGATTAGGATTCCAATTGGGGATTAAAGGGTTAAATTGCCAAGGGATTGGGATTTAACTAATTATTTTAGATAATAATTTATCCGAGTAATTTTATAAATTAATGTTGTAAATCAATCCAAAGTAAGAAGTGAGGATCATAAGGTGAGTGCACTCTAGCTACAATACTTTTCTCATTTTTACAAATCAATTCTCGTTTTTATAGTTCATTTCTCTTCAATAAAAATATATAAAAACAAGTCTTTACTTTTATTTCTTATTGTTACTAAAAAATCATTTCACAATTTTTCCAACAAAAAACAAACCGAGTTTTCCAACATAAGGGGACTGGTTATTGTAGTACTTGGTTTACAATCCCTGTGGAGACGATACTCTACTTACTTTCTATATTACTTGTGTTATCGGTATACTTGCCGTTGAGCATCATTTACCGTTTATGATGCACTGATACTTCAAAATATCTAACGTATTGTGACCAACACCTGCCAACACTCCAACACGCGTTGCAGAGACTCAAAAAAGGATCCGAAGATTGCGTTACGTTGCTTTTTTAGTTAGATTCGTTAGATTACGATTACCATTCTATTGAGTGTAATATAAATATATGAGATATCTTATGTTTATTTGCAAAATTGATGGATATTATAAGTTTAGCTTATTTTTTGTTAAATTATTGAATATTAAATATAATATACACTACATAAATTAAAAATATTATGTAATATCAAAATGGGTCCTAACGTATCGAAATCTAACATTTTTTAGAATTAACGTGTCGGAGTGTCGTGT